TTCATTTCTTTTTCTGTGAATTAGGAGTGCAAGAAAAAACAAACAAAAGCGATTCAGTAATATATCGTGATACTTCATTGCAATTCTTGAACTGATTCAAAATGTATCCGAAATCCATTTTTTTAAATCATAATTTTCACTAAAATTCATGTTGTTACATTTACTGTTCTGATAATGAAAACAAAACAAAAAAAAACATTATATCTGTGTTCTCTTGAAGGTTTAGTAATTATTGATAATTTGCAATATATCATCCATTGTTTTAGTATCGGGATATATCGGAATATTTTGAATAGTGACATGCACATCATGATATGTATCGTATCATTAGACTAAAGACAATGCACACCCCACTGTAAATGGAACTTTTTTTTTTTTTTTTTGGATATCTTCAAAAAAATTGGATCTTGTAGTTTTCGTATCGATTAATATCTCATTTTTTATACTTTTGGCAACCCTCTTATAAAGTAATGAAAGACATATTGAAATTGCAATTTGAGTAGTTAAAATGAAAAGTGACATAAAACAGATGTCTGTGTAATTATAAACTAAAGCCCCGAAGAGCCAACTGTTCTAATGCTGATTCATTCTTATGTTGTTTGTTATAATTTGGTGTTTTGGTTCAAGACGATCCAGTCAGAAAGCAGAAAGAGCCTCACGTGAATTTACAGTATGGCAAACACCTAAAATGCCTCTCTCTGATCTGAACGGTCACTACCTGAAGCATCTAAAGCACCCCCAGCACCTGCAGCCAAACATAAGTCAGTGCTAGTGCAGCCTCTGCAGCTCAGGGAGGGAATTCTGGAGGTTCTGAGCTTTCACATGAGGCCTGTTCATGAGGTTTAGGTTTTTTTCAATTAGTAAGAGTGCAGACTACAGCTTCATCAATCCCAGAAACGGACAAAACAGTGACACAAGTGAGATGAAGCATTTTCCCCTCATTTACTAAAGTGCAGTGGTGCTCTGAGAAACCTCCTGGAGCTGGTACAGGGTCCAGCGGGTCCAGCAGCAGCAGCAGCAGCAGCAGGAGGAGGAGGGGTTAGTGTTACTGGAAAACCACCATCCACTTTGTGCTGTGTGCTGGGGGCAGGTCGGGGCAGGTCCGCTCCCTGTTCCTCTTTACGAGCCCCACCTGGCACAGCGAGACTGGCGCTGGCTCTTGCACACGCACACTCCACGCTCTGTGTCAGCCGGGAGTGTGAACGCTGGGCTAAAGGGGCTCTGTGTGGACGAGCTGGTCATGCACAGGTACAAGTACAAGTACAGACACAGGTATGGGCACAGGTACAGGCACAGGTACGGGCACAGGTACAAGTACAAGTACAGACACAGGTACGGGCACAGGTACGGGCACAGGTACAGGTACAGGCACAGGTACAGGCACAGGTACAGGCACAGGTACAGGCACAGGTACAGGTACAGGCACAGGTACAGGTACAGGGCACAGACACAGGTACAGACACAGGCACAGGTACAAGCACAGGTACATATACAGGTACAGATACAGGTACATATACAGACACAGACACAGACACAGGTACAGGCACAGGCACAGGTACAGACACAGGTACAGACACAAGCACAGGTACAGACACAGGTACAGACACAGGTACAGACACAGGTACAGACACAGGTACAGGCTAAACAAACACTGCTAATCCTAACTATGGTGTGAAGTGCAGCTCATGCACGTCGTAATCTGGGCAGGTTTTCTCCTGTCATTACATCACTTTCTAACAGCAGAGTAGCCACAAATTTCAGGTACGAGTTACTTCAGTATAATATCAGGCAGAGGCACAAAGTAGCGGTCCAGGAAATCACACAAGTACAGTGTGTGTGGAGCGTGTGGGCCTCTGCTGCAGTGCCCAGTGACACAGATCTCTGCAGAGACTCAGGACTGGGCACAGTTGGTGCTTGGATCAGAGCGCTGTATCAGGTGCAAGAGTTGGGCAATAACTGTTGCTGTGTCCTTAAGCAAGACGCCTCACCCACCTGACCCTGGATACATGAACGCGTGTGTGAGTGCTGGTGGCTGGAGGGGTTGAGGCCACAGATTGACTGCCTTGCTTCTGTCAATCTGCCCCATGGCATCTGTGGCTAAAGTAGCTCACACCACCGAGCGTGGAATAAAAAATGCACATGAAGTGAAGAGCCTTTGGGTGTCTCAGAAGGTATTATATAAATCCAGTGTATAATTTGTGATCTTATTACCGTATTTTCCGGGCTATAGGGCGCACTCTTAAGCCTCTAACCGCATCAAAAAACGACCACGCGCCCCACAATCCAGAGCGCCCTATACATGAATCCACTCGGGTGTCCCAGCACGACTTCAGTAAACTACAAAGCCACAAACACACACGGAGCAGACAGCGACCGCGCGGCGAAACACACCCACAGACACACTCATCACTCCACGCCGACGAGGAACGGAACGGAGGAACGAACCGAAAAAGCGAGCGCAATGTGCCGCTTCTGGACACGACTGAACAACTGAGTCACTGCGAACACGCCGACAATCCGTTGGTCCCAGACAGCACCCTCCCTACACGCCACAACTGAACAAAGCCCAGAGTCACAAACAAACAAAACCACTCACCCATCACACTGTTGTGCTTCCTTTTAAAGTCCGGTGCGGTTTATTTGTGAGAAAAGTTCGAAAATAGACCATTTAATGACAGTGCAACTTATAATCCAGAGCGAATAATAGTGCGGAAAATACGGTAAGTACGAGTAAAAAAATATTTGAGGGAAGTCTGTGTAAAATTTGTGCCTAAAATTTAAGACAGCAAATATGAGAAAAACATAATATCTGAAGGAGTGGAGCAAGAAACACAAATGCTCAAACAGTTTAATATTGTCAAGATAAACTTACTCACAATAAGAAATACTCAAATGTAACCTAGTACTAGCAAACTCTGGTTTCTTGGGGCTGCAGTGTAAAAATCTTTACGGCTGTGACACATGTGGTTTAAGTGTTTTGCTCACGGACACAACAGCAGCCTGTCCTCGCGTGACCAGTCTCTGACAGCAGATGAACCTTTTCACATAAACCCTAGAATTTGGATCCCTCCATAAAGAAGTTTTATTTAGGTTTTATTTAGAACTGTGCGTCTGCTCCGTTAGTGAAATAAACAGCAGAGAGACGAGCACACTGGCTTTAAGAACACAATTACAATGTTGTTCAAAGTTGGACGATCTTCAAATGGCAAATTATAGTTGACAAAAGTATAAAAAAGTGATAAGATCGAATACTAAAACGTGTATCAAAAGTAGAAAATCATTTGAGCAGGAGAATAGCAACTGAAACTGAGACTAAACATTCTAGTCATGGATAGTCCGTCACCTGCTTTTCTCCGGGTCGATGTTAATACTTTGCCAAGAATATTCCGCAATACGGCATTTACAGCATCCCAAGCAGATAGCAAACTCGCCACCGGAAAAAAACTGCAAACTGTGGCTTTATTTTTTGTTGTTCATGCGCTCAAAACACAATCTGCACAGATAACAGACGCCGGCGATACCGTTCGGAGCAAATCATCCCAACGGACAATCAATTCTAGTGTTACTCGAGTACAGACGACAAGGAAGTTTTATCTACAGTGCACGAAGACAGACTGACGACATCAAGATAAACGCCAAACTTCGCCTGATAACGTCACGGCAACATTATGAGCCTAAATCAAAAAATAAACTACACTCTCTTCAGTCGGGCTGCAACGATTAATCGACTAAAATATTAATCACAACAGTATTTTCATTTTATTTTGTCATAATTATTGCTGAGTATCATTGAGAAGTTGACGATACAATACACATCTCGATACAGCGCACCTTCCATTCGATATATTGTGAATCGATTCGATAAAGGTTAATTCATGGCTGTGGTACTAAAAGTCTTTGTTAAAACACTTGCAAACATTTAAATCATCAAAACAGCGAAAATGGCAAATGTGTCGCATAAATGAGTTTCCTTCAACAAAACTGTAGCGCTGTAACAAAATAATTAAGTAAAATACACCAAAAAAATACTCTTGGCGATATATCGATACTGTATCATCACATTAAATGATACGATACATCGATATTTTGATGTTTAATCGTCATGTGAACAATACAGACTCTAAAACGCGTTATTAAAGGTTCTAAATTACACAAAATCAACTCTTGTGAGCTTTACAAAACTGTTTCCTCGTCAAAAACAGACCTGGACTTGTGTTTTGTTTCATTCACGCACGTTTGAGCAACTTTATGATCAGTTTTTCTACATCTCCAAAGCTCGAAATGCTCTGTTCCACCTTGTGATGTCACGAAGAGGCAGGTCAACAGCTCCTTTTACCTTTTTTTGTTCGGTAGAGATCGTCAGAAATGATCCAAATGATTCTAGTTTTTTCTGTTTTGAGAGAAGAACTCAGCTTAAATCTGCAGGTTTGGGGTGTTAAACGTGTGGGTGAAAGAAAACACAAGTCCAGGTGTGTTTTTGACGCGGAAATCATAACGTAGAGGAGAAAATAGCGTTAGATGTCACCTTTAAGTCGTCTCAATGTACAGTAAAAATAATGGTTTGTCTTGTTCGCTGGAAATCCACAAATATTTGGAGTCTAGTCTTCAGGAACAATCAGGAACATGACTTTGCTGTCTGCTAATGCTGCCAACTGTACCGCAGAGCCACTTCCACTAAAAATCCCGAACTATCCCTTTAATAAAATCCCCGAATTTTGTTGGGCAGGCTATGCGCAACACATGCACCGTTCCGGACCAGTGCGCGACGAAAAGTATGCACAAAATGGCAAAGTTCCTGCACGAAACTAGCACCTGAACGGTCTCCTTCGGCCCGGACTCGGCTCGGGAGGCGGAGAGGCGGAGGAAACTTGCCGCAGCTTGACTTGGAGCAGCGGTCGGATCTCGCCTCTGTCCGAAAACCGCTGCCTGTCCTGTCCTCTGCCCCGAAGCCAACCAAGAACATACCCGCTATTCAAAGCAAGGAAACAAATGAGTTCTACCTTTTTTTTTTTCAGCAGGTCTGGCCCGACAGGACAGCGGTAAATCCACAACTTCTTCGTGCGGTTTATGGGAATCGCGTTTGCCGCATGATCCTCCGACGCGGGCCGAAGCGCAGACGCACAACTTCACTTCACCTCCGCTCTTTTTCTTTCCCAATCCGAGACATCAAACTAACACATTCCACCGCGTTCTTAACAATGAAAAAAGGTGGGCTGGTTTTTCCTTCTGGGCTGCCGGAGGAGGAGGACCCACCCCTGGCCGGTCTGACCGCAAAGAGAACGCCCTTCCCGGCTGCGAGGGCCCGCCTCTCCGCCCCTCTCCGCTCTCTCTCGCTGCGCTCGGCTCGTGTGGAAGAAGTGGAGGCGTCCTGGACACGGAGGGCAGCGGGTTTTCGAGCTGAATTTCAATGAGACTGGTCCAAATATAGCGGTCTGAGAATAGGGCGCTACATAAACAGCCTGTAATAAACGCACCGGCGCTGACCTACACGCGCGGCTTTCTCAGACTCAAACTTTCTGTGCAGGAGAAGAGAAAGTTCAGGGAAAAGAAAGTGTAAGTCTTAAAGGTGTAGGTAAGCTGCTCTCAGTGTTTCCCAGCCAGGGGTTCGGGGACCTGAGGCTACGTGAGCACTTGGAGGAAATGGTTTCGGATTTAAAAGACAAATGGAAATGAATATTTGAATCTAAAATGTTCTTAGTAATATATTTTCAGTGTTGGGGAGTAACAGATTACATGTACTTGTAATCAGAGTACAAATTCTGAGTAATTGTATTCAGTTACAGTTACTGTTTCAGTGAGTGGTAATTGGATTACAGTTACTTTGTTGAAATAAATGGATTACACGGCGGTAATTTCCTGTTTTCACATTTTGGGCTATACCCAAAATTATATATATATATTTTATTATTATTATTATTATTTTTATTTATTTATTTTTTTTAAACCAGGTCTAAACCAGGTTTAAACCAGGTTTAAACCAGGTTTAAACCAGGACTAAACCCGGACTAAAACAGGATTTAACAGGACTTTAACAGGACTTTCTCGTCTTTGCTTCTCTACAGCAAACCAAGTAATCCAAAGTATTCAGATTACATTACTCAGTTTAAGTAATTTAATGGATTACGTTACAAACTACATTTTGGTGTATGTAATCTGTAATCTGTAGGGGAATACATTTTAAAAGTCACCTTCCCAACACTGTATATTTTACATGCTTAAGGATGTTTAAGTTGGATAATTTTGACATAAATAACATTGAAATAAGAAAATAGAATAGTTATTATTGGGTATGATAGAAAAAAATGAGAAAAAACAAAACAAAACACCATTACACAAGAGATGGGGAATCTTTGGGGATACGCGAGACAAACAAAGTTGGGAACCACTTGTCTATGTCTAGTCTGATTGATCAGCCGGTTTCACTTCATAAAAAACATCTGACCTCGTTGTTTGCTCGACGGTAGGCGGGTGCTTTATTTATGTAACCAATCGTTGCTATTTGATCATGACGTATGTAATGCGCCGCTAACGGGGATCACTGGTATATTAAGCTTTTCCCAAATCCCGTAGGAAGAAGGACAATAACGTCTTTCCCCTTGATGAAATTCACCAAACATTCTCTTTATTCTGGCTTTAAACAGGGAATCATTGGCAACACTGAATGTCTGTCTCTTCACTGATTGGCTGGTGCCTGAACTCTCACTTCTGGGGTTTTTGCGACCCGTCTAGTGTATTCTGATTCCTGATCTAGTCGTTGGAGAGAAATGAAATAGAGCGGAGGCACTAGGTGGCGCCAGACTGGCTATCGGGGATCTGGGGGTACATGAGCACTTTCATGTAGCCCTACTTGAAATGGTTTCGGATTTAAAAGACAGATGGAAATGAATATTTGAATCTAAAATGTTCTTAGTAATATATTTTACATACATACAAGAACACTGGACTCCTTCATTTCTCTTTCTGCTTTTAAATGTAAACTGAAGGTAATTTTTAAAGACATGTGTAAATGTTTTACTAATGAAACGAAAGGAGATTTTTAGAGACTGATGTAAATGTTTGTTTTATGTTTTAATGAATGATGTTGGTTGTCTCATTGTTTTATCTCCCCTTCCCCTTCCCTTGGCTGCTCTGGCATGCCCAGGCCAACATTGTAAGTAAGAATTTGTTCTTAATGTTTTGCCTGGTAAAATAAAGGTTAAACTAGAAAAGCACTCAGAGAGCGCAGACCTCTGCCAAGGACTACAGTCCCCCTCATATTAATTGTGTTTTCCATAAATATTTATCTCGTATCTTTCAATTTGGAATATGAAAGAGGATCCGATTGTCCATCCCTGAGTCAAATTTCATGGGGTTTGGTCAATAATTAACCGAGATATTGAGAAACAAAATTTTTGGCCCCATTTACCACAATGTTAACTAAAATTTCAAAGTGATCCAGAATCCAGGATTTCTTCCGGATCAAACCCAAAATGAAATCAGTTCTTCCTTTTCACATTTCCAACAAATCCTGAAAATTTCATCAAAATCGGTCCATAACTTTTTGAGTTATGTTGCTAACAGCAAACAAACAAACAAACAAACAAACAAACAAACAAACAAACAAACAAACAAACAAACAAACAAACAAACAGACAAACAAACAAACAAACAAACGCCGGCAAAAACATAACCTCCTTGGCGGAGGTAACAATTTGGGGACCGTAGGCAAAATTGAGTTTGGGGTCCTCACTATAATGCAATGTTTTTGTTTTTTGCTTTGTTTGTTTATTTTTTTGTATTTTTTAAATATTTATTGTCTGTTTTTCCCCATTGTTCATGAGACAAACACATCTCTATTTGAATTATGGTGGATTGTCTTGTCTTAGTTCAGTCGTCTACTAGAAAACCAGAGCTGAAGGCAGTTTTATTTTCTCCTAGTACAATTACATTTTTGTTTATATCCATTATATAGCTCTGGTGCTACAACCTGGTACAATGCATCTCTCCTGTTAAGGTTCATGTAAAAATTGCACGCTGTCCCTGTCTCATTAAATAAATAAATAAACAAATAATATGATTCTGCTATAATTATGTTCAAATCAGGGTCAAGCTGAGGAGTTCATTCTAACGTGAAAGGGGGAACGCTTTGACAGTTAAATAGATTTGACAATCAGATTCTATTTAAAGTAAAACTATTCTTATTTAAAGTCATATTGAGAGAAAATCTAATTGCTCTGAGGCCTCGACCTTCAGTGGTAATGGCAAGGGCAACTGTTTGGGGGTCCCTCCAGGTTCGGGGGCCCTAAGCGGCTGCCACTTTTGCCTAATGGTAGCGCCGCCTGTGGGAACGCAAAACAAACAACCACTTGTCTATGTCACCTGCGTTTTAGTTATCTATCATCAGTGTTGGGAAGGTGACTTTTAAAATGTATTTCCCTACAGATTACAGATTACACACCCCAAAATGTAGTTTGTAACATAATCCATTGAATTACTTAAAGTGAGTAATGTAATCTGAATACTTTGGATTACTTGATTTGCTGTAGAGAAACAAAGACTTGGATATTGTAACATAAGATGTTTTGTCTGCTAAAAGAAAATAAAAAGCCCAGACTTTCCTTAACCGTATTAAAAATATTATTGAGAGAATAGTTTTGTCCTGTTAATTCCTGTTTAGTCCTGGTTTAGATCTAGTTTAGACCTGGTTTAATCCTGGTTTAGACCTGGTTTTAGTCCTGGTTTAGACCTGGTTTTAGTCCTGATTTAATCCTGGTTTAGACCTGGTTTTAGTCCTGGTTTAGACCTGGTTTTAGACCTGGTTTAGACCTGGTTTAATCCTGGTTTAGACCTGGTTTTAGTCCTGGTTTAGACCTGGTTTTAGACTTGGTTTAGACCTGGTTTAATCCTGGTTTAGACCTGGTTTTAGTCCTGGTATAGACCTGGTTTTAGACTTGGTTTAGACCTGGTTTAAGTCCTGGTTTAGACCTGATTTAATCCTGGTTTAGACCTGGTTTAATCCTGGTTTAGACCTGGTTTTAGTCCTGGTTTAGAACTGGTTTAGATCTAGGTTAGACATGGTTTTAGTCCTGGTTTAGACCTGGGTTCAGTCCTGGTTCAGTCCTGATTTAGTCCTGGTTTAGACTTGGTTTAGTGTCCAGTAATGATTAGAATTACTAAAAAAAAAAAAAAAAAAAAAAAGGGATATTGCCCAAAATGTGAAAATAGGAAAATACCTCCATGTAATCCATTTATTTCAACAAAGTAACTGTAATCCAATTACCACTCACTGAAACAGTAACTGTAACTGAATACAGTTACTCGAAATTTGTACTCTGATTACATAACTCCGGTACATGTAATCTGTTACTCCCCAACACTGTCTATCATGATGGAAATGCCCGGTCAGATAACGATATCACAGAAACACGCAGGTTGTCGTAGAATGAACCGTAGCACCTGAGAAGAGACCTGAGGCTGGAGCTGAAACACAACAGAAGTTTATTTCCATGAGCACAGCCCGAGCACAGTCACACGCCCTCTGACCCTCTGACCCTCTGACCCTCTGACCCTCTGACCCTCTGACCCTCTGACCCTCTGACCCTCTGATTGACATTCTCTAAATCCAATGGAATAAAACTCATAACTTACTTTGTCTTGTGGTTAATAGTTGAAGACCTGGCCACCCCCGGTTTCACCTGTCATGAAAGTGAACTCCTGAAATGGCTGACACAATAAAACACTGAGTCATAAAAGACAATGTACTTCCCCGTAGACCTTATCACGATCTCATCAGCTCCTGTTCTAACTGCCAGTGTCAGTGCCAGTCTAATGTCACTGGCATATTTACGTCTGCCCCAGTTGGCATATCGTAGTTGCCACGCAGTTAAAGATTTGGTTTATGGTGTGACCGGAATAAAACTCATAGTGCAGATTGTAGGTTTTATAACAGAGGCCCTTATTTTATGAATAAAAAAGAAATAAAGGCCTCCTGCTCCTCGACTCAGACTCTCAGGGCCTGTTTACACGAGAACGCTTGTGGGTAAAAACGTCAAAATATTTAATCAGAAGTGCCTTTCATTTAGATGGTGATGCCGTTTTTGGGGCTTAAAAATGCAAAAATCTGAGCCTCCAGAGTGGAAAAGTTGGAAAAGTGAAAAAGTCCGCCGTAGTGTTTCCGTCTACACTGGCCAAGACGCAAAACTCTGGTCAGATCTGCTCAGGTCACCTACGTGTTTACGTCACATACATACAGCAACATGTCGGATCATTTCCATGCG